CTGGGGAATATGGAGAGGATTAATAGACTCTCCGCCACCAAGGTGAATGTGCCTCCTTCAATTCGTGTTCCTTTTCGCCTGTATCTTCATCTATTGCACTTCGATAAGGACAGAATACCTCTACGCATGTATAGCTCATGAATGCCGGTACACAACGCCAAAATGCGCTTATTAATCTTGGATTTCTGCACTAAAAATGTGGAATTCATTTGCAGTCTTGTCTGTTGGCTGAATTATAAAATTCTTGTCGTGAAAAGAGGAGTTTCGAATTTCCGGCCAGGGGAACCCGATTTTGGAGTTCAACAGATTATCAGACTCATAGATACTCATACCCAGAGCATCAACAACAAGAATAAACGACATACATTTCCAGATCCTGTGCGATTTGTAGGCACTGAGCCACTGCATCATTCGATCGAACCATTGCTCGTCGGCTTGTTAGTACTGTTCTTTTCCGGAAATTAGTCGATTAATTGGCAAAGTTCAGCAACACAAACGCAGGATGCCAGTAACGCAGCGGTGTCTGTTGGGCAATGGATTTCCCCTGACACTATGTCTCTTTTAACAGACGACCAAGGAAGAACAAACCGCAGAGAAAGACCCACCTCGGCTGCAGAAGGTATTCAAAAGCACTATCTACTCAAAAGTCGTTTCCACTGCCACCAGTGTAGCGTCCCCAGACCTCCTGACCGGTACAAGAAGTCAGTAAGTACAATTGGATACATGTATTCTGAAGACGACAGGCTTACGTATGCAAGGGCCAGACAACTCCTAGTGACCGCCTAACGTCATGTGGTAACATAAACAAATCATTACATTAGCCACACTTATGCTAAAAGACATCAATTTAAGGTGTAAATTAGCCTTCCCTAAACGATTTTGCATACCTGATGCCGACCAGAAGCAGGGTATTAATCAAAACATCGCCTTCACCACATATTTAGGCTACGTGACCACGCTGCTACTTTGCTCTTGAGCCAATTTTCCTTAAGCTAAAGTTTTCTTACAGCAAATAGTAGATTGCATCAGCACACATTAGACAAACATCTTCTAAGGTTCATAATGGATGTCGCTTGGTACGTAGTGCAGATATCGAAAGCTGAGGCCATTCGCATCCCTTTCGGCATAAAGAAATGAGAGATTTATTGTACATAGCATATTTACTTCAGTTTGCACCGCCAAATTTGCCACAAATGGTGGAAATCAGGGTAGAAGATTTTCCAAGGTCAAAATTTGTTTTAAATTGTCACTAAGATGGCGCCTCGGAACCTCTTTACAGATCACTATAGCCACCCAAGGCTTCTCACTAGCTAGAGAAAGGCATTAAGCTGGACTAAAAAAACACGTATTCCAGGAGGCCAAGAATGGATTGGCCTTTGTCTTGGCCCGTGGACCAGCCCATAAATTCGGGAGCAAGACGAGTAGCAAAGTAACCGCCAATCATGCGGGTAGTCACATGAACAAAGTATTACAATCATGGACGGCATTGTGCTTAAGTGGGACAAAGAGATTCTCATATCAGCTATCGTGACCCATATGTCAACCGATCCAGCCAAAGCAGTGAGGCCGACCTTGTAACCACAACTAAAATGACAAACGGATTATTACATAGATGGTACGCGAAGACATATTTCCGATGCACATCATTTACTAGCCATTTAGTTGGCCTAAATGGATAACCAATGTTGTTGTGACATTTCAGACCATCCCTAAGCACAAAATCAGACTGAATACCATCATTTGGTCAGCAAATTGGAACTCCTCGTGCCTGGAAAGAACAGCAAATGACCTTTAAAAGGGAAAAAGGAATTTTGAAGTAATTTCTTAATTTAACAAAAAACGCTTTATGCAAAGGTGCAAGTGGAGTTTAAGCCGTAGATGCAACCCTAACGCTGGACGTGCTGGAAAGTTAATTTTAAATTTCGCAAAGTGATGGTATTTATGTAAGAAAAATATCAAAGTACAATATATGTTGTGTTTCTTTGCTTATGTGGTTGCCTGTGCCTGGCAGCTACTTTTGAATTTGTCCTGCTCTTGTAACCGTGCATTGGCCTCCGGACCAAGCCAAATCCCTCCTCTTCCTTATATAAAACATGTATTCATACCAACTTAGTCGCCTCCTTATCTGGTGGGGCGTTATGCAGCGCCACATGAGTAATGTACCGGGACCTTTATTAAATTTGAGAGAGCATTGGGCATGGCTTATTACCTATGTCTAGAGCGACGCGATAGAGGCGAGACTGTGACCTGGCTCGAAATCTAGCCCGCAAGCAAAAGCCGGATGCGCGCCGAGGAACCGCCATTCATAAAGGTAGTCACCCTCTCAAGACGACATCCTGCACTAGGTATCACGAATCCGCTGCACCGATACCAGCTTCTGTGAGATTGAAGGAATCTCCCTGGCCTGGAGTTTCCTGAGGTATTAGGAGAAGAAGCATGGCAAGGAATTTCTATTGACATTCAATAGCGCCCAGAATTAGACGTTAAACACTGGTTAAATAACAGGTGTTTAGCAGGGAGAACGGGATCAAACACAGTCTCACATAAAAGTGGATCTGGAATAGTGTCAATTCCGACATCTGTAAATAGAAGTAGCAATGGGCACTTCAAAACAAAACTCATCCAGATGGCTAACGACGGTGCCGCTTCAGTTGGTAACAAAGGGGCAAGGTGGAGCTGCTAGGGTAAATACAGAGAACTCCCCGCTCGAATAATATGTGCTTCCTTCACATCGTAGGCATGTCACAAATGTCGAGTTCGCTTTCCGCTGCCATCAGCATAGTACTTCGAGACCTCGTGGGCTGGCCTTCGGGCCATGCTCAAGTCCATTTGTTCTGTCTTCTTTGGAATACGTGTATCCAGCCTCACTTACTGCCGTTTTCCAGCCGGTTGGAAGCCTCGGGACGCTGCACTAGCGGCAGCGAAAAGCGAACCGAACAATTTTCCCACGACTCCTATCCTAGCACGTACCGTTTGTTACATGCACCTACGGTGTGGAATAGACGCATTTGCATCAGTGGCGGAGACTCTCTGAGTCCTTCACAATAAGAGGGTCGAGACAGACGTCTGCATATGACTTCAACTTATTCTCGAGTTCCCCAAACAAGCTATTAACAAGTAAAGCGACACCTCCTTGAACTATCTGGAAAAGGTTCGTGTCGGAAGTTCCCATACAGAATCCGTGTTTAGGTGTCCGAAATGACACTACGGTTCTCCTTACATTACTAAACAGTGGCTCATGCCGTTTTCCCTGTAACACATCTGTTCTAGACCAGAGTTGCACCGCCTATGCGTGGAAGCAATTGATGGTCAACAGGTGTATGCGGTCCCGAATCTGGTCATTAGAACGAACGTAACTCCAGATCCAGTTGAAGCTGCCGAGGAGACCAGGTACGGTTCCTCAGTCTCGTGCTATCTGTCAAATGGCAAGTTTGGCTCGTGTTTGCTTTCATGTATCGAATATGTTGTGAAGGCTAGCGCTGGAGGCGTACCAAGGAGAGCGCCGAGGTTGTTGCTCGAAAGAAGAGAGAAGCAGTGTAATACTTTGGTTATGTGACTGTCTGACGTTTGGCGGTCACTTTAGGATTTGTCTCGCCCTTGTATATGTGGGCTGGCCATTGGGCCATGCCCAGACCCATAACTGCCTGCTTCTACCCTATGGGAAGTCTCGGGACGCTATAGATACTAAGTTGGGCTGAATACATGCACTGGAAGGGAAGAAGAATGGATTTAACCTTGGCTTGGCCCGAGAGCCAGATCAGGCGCATAAGGGCAAAGCAAATCACAAGGCAACTGCCAGATGTAATACTTTGTTTATGTGACTACCTGACGTTTGGTGGACACTTTAGAACTCGTCTAGACCCTGTACACGTGGGCTGGCCTTCGGGCCAAGCTCAGTACCCATTTCTCCTATTGTTTTCGGAATACATATATTCAACCCCAATTATGCCTTCTACTACCTCATTGGAAGCCTCGGGACGCTACACCAGACACCAGACAAATACTGCAGTCAGTGTGTGAAATTACGCTTCAGGGGACATGGTTATATGTAATTTCTTAGGTGTGGACAGGAATTCTTCAATAATTAATATATAAAGGGTCGAGACAAAATCGCAGTCACATTTAGGCTTGTGCATAAAAAATTACTTCGCAAATTACAAAGTTATATAAATATGCAGCTTTTTATTTTGTTAAATTCACGACCTTAAAATATGTTTATACGCACAAAATTTATTTTATCTTCCACATATCACAGCTTTGAGTGTCAGTTTTTACTCGCAGCTATATGATGCCTCTACGGCATTAATGTGCACTTTCTTACTACTGCTTAACCATGTGTGACAGCGATTCTGGTCTATCTATTAGTATGAATGGGAGTAGCAAGGATGTTGATGCCTCCTCGACTGGCTCAACAGTTATTAAAATTACCGTCCCATCGGTTGGTGTAGAGGTTTGTTGTTAAATTTTAAACACACTAACCTGTCCCTAAGAGAGTATATACATTTCTCCAATCTGATATGATTTCCGATGTCAAATTGTCAATAGCAACGGATTTGCAACTAGACTTTCGCGATATATTGAATTACGGATTATTTCTTCCTCCAGCAAACGGTAAAGCAGGAAAATTCTTACAAGAAGAGAGGCAGCTAAGAGATTACCCATTTTCCTGTTCCGTTGGACATTTAGAGGTTTTGTCGTTATAATCTTTATTCTCCTAGTTTAAATATAAACAAAGAATTTACAGAAATCTCCCTGCAAATATTAACAAGCTACGAAAAATCAATTCAAAGGTAAGAAATTTTTGAAACTGGACTTGTGGGAACTCTTTAATACTTACAAAGCACGAAGACAAACGTAAATTTTCTTACTGCAGGCCACTTTAAGAAAATTTTTGGGTCTGGTGCGCTGCGGTGATTTAGAAAAGGTCACTAAACTTCTTGAGAAAGGAATAGATCCAAATTTCCAGAGTTCCGATGATGGAGGCAAGTTGTATAAAACTTGTCGCCCTCCCGTCCAAAGCAGTTGCAAAGAGTCAATTTCTTTTTTGTTTTAGAGACTCCATTAACAGTCGCTGTTCAACTTCCCAAGCCCAAGTCTGTCATCATGGTCTTGGTCGCTGGTGGCGCACATTTAGATTATCGTGCTGCTGACAGCTCTACACCTCTCCACAAGGCTGCAATTGGGGGAAATTATGAAGCCATCAAAGTAATTTCGAAATCTAACATAAAACAATTTACATTCCCTGATGGTACAATAACTGTCATTTTTGTTATTGTTTGTGAAAATTGTGTGATTTGCACGTGTTATCGAGTAACTTGATTTAAAGGTGCTTCTGGATTTGGGACAGTCGCCAAACACCAGGGACTCCAAAGGTCTTACACCGCTTTATCAGTGTATGCTCAATGATACGTCGGCGATGTGTGCGGAACGGCTCCTCTTCGACCATTCGACAATCGGGGTTACAGACGGAGCTGGAATGGAGGAAATTCATCAGGTTGGTTGAACTCACTCAACTCAGAATTTAACTCACAAGATCTTCAGATTGGTGGATGGGTTTTATTTTGGTCGTTGTTATAAAATTATTCTCCATCGCGGGTGTGGAAACGTGTTTGCAAAACACAAAGTCTCTTTTCTTAATAGAAGATTGACAGCCGTGTGACTAAACCAAAGGCACTTTTGTCTTGCACTTTTTCCCTTCTTCTTCCTGAAAATACGCGTTAGAGGAAATCCAAATCCCCTCTAAAACATGCTCGTACATCTGACGTCGATCCCTGATTCCATCATTTTGATGAATGGCATGGTGCGATGGAGTCTAAAGTATTGACCATAGTGGATATTTGTTTTAGCAAAGATTAAATGCCAATGTGAACGTTATTTTGTGGAGGGTGTTAAGATGAAGGTAAAATCATGGGGCAAGCTCATACTATGCAGTGATTGCCATGCATGTCCAAACCACAACGGGTTTTAGTACTGATGATTTTTTTTGTCAAACGGTGTGCTAGTCTGTGAGATTGTCTCTCACCCACCACAACCGTCGACCCAACTGCAGGTGGACAGATGTGGATAGGCGAGAGACAATCCCCGCGCATAATCTTAAACCCAAAATATTTTCTTTCTGTTCACTTTCTCTTCACTTTCTCTTTACTTATCATCAATTCCTCATTCTTGTGATCTTCCATCCTCTACTTCTTCATCATCATCAGCGGAACGAACGGTGTTTATCAGCTGCCCTGTAATCTGCAATAACCTAAGGATAGATTTTTATTTTTTGGATAGGCTTGTCGATTTGGCCGAGTGCAGCACCTAGAACAGTTGATCGCGTATGGAGCAAATATCAACAGTCAGACGACGTTCAACGGCAACACGCCACTTCACTTCTGTGCCTACAATGGACAGGAGTCCTGTGCGCGTCTTCTCCTCTTTCGAGGCGCCAACCGGACATTGAAGAACCGTGCCGGTCACACTGCCCACCAGGAGGCCGTTCTGGCCAATCACGTCACCACGGCCACTCTTATTCGTGACTTTCAGAGCAAGGATGTTGGTGAGCGATTTCATCGTGTCCATCTGATGTAGGAAGTTCATATCCTCCAAATTTGGTTTACTCTTTCGAGAGAGTGTTGAAGTCGTATATGCAGACAAACATTTTGTCCGGTAATCCCCACCCTTTAGTTGATCTACTGGAACTGAGTGAGCTTTGATGTGCAAATTTTCCCCAGCCTATTTTTGGAATGCGAATCCGAAAGCACAAATTCTGAGTAAGTTCATCGACACAAACTGCCAAATTCCTGATGGTCAGTGCTGGCACCTGATGCATTTGGAGGAACGTTGAGAGTTTCTGAAAGTGCAGTGTTTTTGTTAGGCAGATCCACATCACTTCGGGCGACCACAAGCATTTAATACTCTGCAGGATGGTAATTATGGTTTGCCCGGAAACAGTGTGTGCCGAAATTTGTCTAGCGCAATTAAAAAGGCGAAGTATTGTCTGAGAAGTAGTTTATTAGAATCCTGCATACTGCAGCCGAGGTGGTGTAGAAGTGAAGCGTCACCGACCAAAAGGGTAAACGTCAATGGAGGAGCCTTCTAGAGTGAAAGCAGTCACATCCGCTATAGATGGACATGGCATTTGAAAGAGTCGTCGAAGCAGCGGTGAATGCTGGCTTGACGACGCCTCTGGAATTAATACATTCGATTGCAGTCAACGTTGGTTGAGCCCTCTGAGGATGGAGTTGGTGGGATTTATTACCTTCTAGGAAGAAAGGCTTGAGAAAAGGAGATAAAGATCAAACCCACCAATCATGATAAAAGTTGAGGAAGGTAAAATCGAATCGACATTACGCAGCTTCCAGTTTTCCAGTAGTAATCCACCTTTTGCAACTTCCATTACGAAGAAAGCGTGCTCAAACACATATTACTTCCCATCTTCAAGATTTGGAGGCTTCTAATAACTTTGACTGCAACCGCATCGCTATGTGCAATTCTATTCAGTCACTGATTGTCGAAGGTAGCAAATGGGCACAAAATTCAATTTAAAATGTTTTTAAACATTTTGTGAAATTTTATCGACGTCTAGAATTCGCCCGCTCTAGGTATTGGCAACACGATTGAAGGTGAGTGCTGTGAAGGAGGGGATCCCCTCGGATCGGCGTCTACCTTGAGGACAGGGTGAAGAAAGTGGTCTGCAGCACTTGCAGTGTTTGCTCCAGCACAACTTACCAGGCTTTGGTTCCTTTAATAGAAGTGTTTTTTGGTGTCAAGCCCTCACCAGTCAACATTAAACAACATTTTAGATGCCATGGACGGTGTATTCACAGACGTCTCTGCGGTACTTTTGGTCTGCAAATTGAAACCTTTCCGACATGTGGGCGGTGTTGTTTTTTCTCAGCTTAAACGCCTTTTTTAAAGGAGAGGCCGTAGAAAATTTGGAAACTGCTGTGCTTCACACAAAGTTTAACATCTTGAAATCACTACCTCTTCGTCAGTTATTAAGTGAGGATCTTACTGAATAGTTTGTCTGTGTCATGTCTTTGTTGTCAGTTCCTCTACGGGGCAGTCCCAAGTACAACGAGAAGCGGCGCCAGGCAAGTCAAATACGTCCGTTGGGCGAGCGGTGTTCCAGTCTCGGTCGTCTGACTGAGAACTTCAACAGCACCGAGGTACTCTCCCCGCCCCCTATCCTGGCAAAATCGCCCTTTCCTGAGATCACCTTGAAGTCACCCAATGATGCTACAATGGGACACATGTCGGCAAGCTCCAGTGGATACTCGCTTTGCAACGAGCGGAGCTGTGAGCTTGGTTACTTTTTGCGTATCTAAGGCACGCCGAGGTAACGCGAATGAGGGACCTTCCATCGTAAATATCTCAAACTCCCAATACAGACTGTGGCAAGAAGACTAAAATAAGGCTTTTTTTAATAGTCCAGATTGAATGTTTCAGGTGAGGTTCGGAACAATTATCTAAGATTACTTATAGCATACCTAATCATGGTTAAGAAGGACTTGTTTGTACTCCGTAGCTGTCGTTTTCTTTTTCCTGAGGTCGATGTAAATGCTAGATAGGTTGAGAATTGCATGTTTTTTTCCGGTTTTTTATGAGGCTAGAATTGAAACTGAAAGTGGGCTGATACCTGAATGACTTTCAACAGTGCATAAGATTTAGTTCCAAATCGAGGAGAAAAGTGGGTGTTTTACATCAGGAGCAATGCTTTATGGTTCCCGCCTAGGTCAACCGAGGAACAGCTTTGTTTTCTTTATGAAAGTTTGACTAATCTGATTGACATTAGTGACATCCGAAGGATGGATGGGAGGAGGTGCATTCAGTGCCCACTGATACCGCTTCCTTTCTGATAATCGTGGTGGCCGATTTCCCGATTCCAGATGTGTCCAGTAGTTGGAGTATCGGAATGCGATCCAGAGTTTTCCGGCCCAAAGCAGCATTCCCGCCTTGGAGGTGGGAGAGGACGCTTTTATTATAGTGAGTTAAGTAAATCATCATCTCAGAACCATCGAAAAAAGTGGTACTCTATCATACGAAACCCATACGAATATCTCGCTATGACGTCGAGAGGAATTAATGCATTTGTGCCCTCCACAGTCGTCTTCAGCCTCTTCTCATTCACTTATTCGATCCTGCCTGACCAACTGCACCAGCACTGACCCCCTCATTCGAATAACACTCACGATTGGCCGCCGTTCACTGATCAACGGTCTCTCGACCCAAAAATACATATGCATTAGGTGTTTAAGGCTGCCTGCGAGGCCATGCTTTGGTCACACCGGAAGGTTTAAAAGGAAAATATCAACTAAATTTACACGTTTTTACAAATTAGATGATTCCTTTCCTGAGGAACATTTTCACGAAGTCCCCTCATCCGCAATTTGACGAAATTACTTTAAAGTGGCACGGATATTGCAACTTCAAAGATGAGGTCAACGTGATCTGACCCAACTGACTATTTCATGGTGGTGACGCAATTCTTAGCCTTGAGCAAGTCCTCCCACATCTGACGAAGGCGATTGGGTGTTGTTATGTAAGGCTGGTGGGCGAGTCTGTTTACCTCACTGGCAGTTCTGATCACTCAGACTCCAGCGGCACCACCATCGTCAGCAATGCCCTCTTCAGGTTTACCATTCCTACATTTAACATGCAATTTTATGCACTTTTGCTACTGTGTGCTTGATGAGTGACTTATATCGTTATTTATAATAACTTTTTAAAGAAATAGTGCTTATTTGCCTGCAGATTCCTGTTTATTTAAATGAGTGGTCCAAAGCGACGACGACCATTTAGGCGAAAATATGGTGTTGACCAAGTTATTGCCAGACCGCGCTCATTCCTTTGAGTGAATTTGTGAATTCCCCTTGAAACATGGTGCATGCTTTTTGTTACCAACAGGACTGGTGAATTCAGGGTTGCTGGAGAGGTCCACGTAGCCATATCCCCACTCAATATAAGCAATCAGTGCAGTATATGCCATTTTAGATTATTCTAATGCTCTCGTCTGACTTTATAATAAGAGTGAAGGGGTGTGAAGTCAGTTGAGTGAAACAAGAAGGCCATGAAAATTTTGCATTTTTCATTCGATCTGTGAGATCGAAGAAATTTGGTAGGAGTATTAGTGGCTTCCGTGCACCTTCACCATTTTATGCCTTGCTTTCGTGTATTCATGCTTTGCAGACTCAATTAGTTGCTTCCCCCTTCTGGTTACATTCTCCAACTCACTTAAATCTCATTGAAGCCTTTTGGGTGCTTTAACATGCCATTTTTCCATATCATTACCTTTATTCAATCTGCCTTTATTAAACCTTTGGAGATAACTTTGTGCACTTTTCAAATAAAGTTGTTAAAGAACATAGTAGAGGAAACACTGTCAGTGGTCAAGGCATGATTGGCAAAAAATCACTCACTTGTGTTTCCTTAGGCTTCAAATCTAAAAATAGCATATGCTATTGGTGAACATGAAATCATCTTCATGTCTTGTCATGACAACGTCTATGAGATCAGAACACAAACTAAATAGGGTGGATAATTTATGCAGACATACCCGTCTATTCCTTCGCTACTTAAATGCACTTCAGCGTCCAACAAACAGCGGTTTTCGGAGATCGGCAGACCGCTGTTGAGGGGACTTCCAAAGACTTCAGTGTCGGAAAATCATTCTCCCACCTCGGATGGCAACCTTACAGTCGGCCGACTTCCTCAAAATCGACTACCGTTGAGTTCCTCAAACGGACTTTCTGTATATCGTGAAACCTCGGACACGATGTCACTACGGAGCTGTGCATCGTCATTCACAGGTTAGACGAGCGTGATATGAGCTTTTTCATTCAAAAGCACCTGATGTTGCCAATGAATGCCCCGTGGGGCGTTTTTGGTGCAATCCATTTGCATCCTTGTTACTGTGCTAGTGAGGCGATCAAGAACCTACTGCCACTTATGGAGAAGCTTCAATATGGTCTGGCCATTCGTAAACACCCATAGTCTATCCTGAAAAGTTATAACTAAAAAAGAAATTGCAAAGTAGTGTTCACAAAGTGAATGACAAGGTTACCAAGGATCGAAATCATGATTTTTGTAACAAATCGTGGCGAAGGCAATATAGTCCACCATCCTAAATGGATACTCCAGTGTGGTAGATCAAATTGGCTCTATTGCATGTGAGGGTGTGATTTGTCAATCGAATGGATGTGAACCCCTTGTGAACTTAATGATTGAAGTTTCAGACTTCTGTTACGTACACCTTAAGGCGATTTTATAACATTCGTCTTTTTGGAACTAGAGACAATTTATCTCTTTCCATATACCCTTTTTTGGAGGTGGATGGCTTGCCCAGTGAGCCACCATGGTCGACCATCCCATTTCACAGGGTGTCAGCATTCACTAACCTTCGTTAATGACCATCAATTAAATTGGAAAAAAAAGATAGCGCGTATGCACTTTTCTTAAAAAGAGGCAAATGCGTCCAACTTATTGTTAACTTGCCTAACTCAGGTTCAATGAAGCGTTTTGTGAGAACTATTGCTTCACTATTACGACGGCACTTTAAGAAATCGAAATTAGAGGACCTCTGACAGGAACACAATTATGGCCTAGCCGCCGACTGATGCCAAGTAATTTGTGCCATCAATGCCTTTTCTGCCCTTGTGATCACGTTCACTTGGTGGAAGGGAGATGTTCTGGGACACCGCGAGGCGTATCGGTTCAAAGGCCTGATGGTAGGTCTTTGCCACCACCGTAGAGACTGTGGTGGTTGCATCTCATGCCTAAAGAGTGCTGCCAATAGTGTTGAAACGATAACATTATTCGAATTCCGTGTTCCTGGTAAAAAGGCTAAGTCTTAGGAGCCAAATGTGCGGTACAGAGAGCTGGAAAGTATCCTCCATCTCTGCTTATTGAAGACTGATGAAGGTTACTCAATTCTCCTTATAATGAGGGTCACTGTAAGAAGGGCGGATCGTCGCACAGCCGCAAACGAAGGAATTTGTCTTCCAATAAAACTAGGAGTTGAATGAGTAGCAAATTCTGAGCTGTGTATCTCGCGCTGTCTTTGGTTGCGGTAAGCACTTTCACCAAAGTGACAGCCGAACGTATTCATTCCTTTGGATGTTGGAGCAGAAAACATTCCCATGACTCCTTTAAAACGCTTTTATTAAACCCTTATCCACTCATGCGTTTGGAGTGCACAACTGCCACCGCATTCAGCACCGTCACTCATCCATTCAGCACGGGTAGTTGGTCAACCATCAGACCATTGGCATTGACGACTACCGTTCTTGTGCATTTTGTGTGTGTATGCGCATCTGTGTGTGTTTGTCATGAGTGGTCACCTTGCGTGCTTGTGAGTGAATACTAAGGTCTAGGCAACGCCTCACCACACACACACACACAAAACCAGACACACGCCCAAACACGCGCCTTCGTTCTCGCTCTCGCCTTCCACATTGGACACCCTCCGTATCATGACTCACCATCGACGTAGAAGTGTACAGCAAGGGACATAGCAGGCACGTAGCCTCCCTGTTGCAATGACAACGCCTATTACTAGGGCTCGCTCATTGGTCAGTCTGTGGGCAGGTGGGAGGACGGGGATGTTGGCCTGTTACTATGGCCATGCCGGCTCAACACATTCACATGGTGACCCTATTGCAGTTGTTGCTTTTTGCCGCTGAAGCTCTGTTACTATCTCGGTTACTTTTTACTGACAAGCTGGATTAGACTTCATAGCTCTTTTTTCCCCAGATGCATAGAAAAACTTGGCGAATTGCTAACAAGATTGGTGGAAGTGCCTTTTCGGCATTCTTTTTTTCACAAGTGATTCAAACCAATGTTACAAGCATATGACCTGGAAAAAGACTTGACAGTAAATCACTTTACCTAAAAGGACTCTTTTGAGGAAGGAAGTCGCAAAGGAAATGGAGGAGGACATTAAGAGATTGGATTGCAAAAATGTGGTGCTAGGATTTCCCTCCGTTGGAGCAAAAAAATGCCTGCTTGTTTTAGGCCGTAAATGAACCATCATATTTTGAAAGATGCGTTCTTCTTCGTTAGTTGTTTCGACAACTGTCCTGAAAACCACCTTGATGCGAATTGGGTCCATTTGCATTTTAAAGCATCTTCGAGGACTTACCGACTCTTCGCATTTCATCAGAGTCAAATGAACCGCATAGCCATGCAGTCTTTATTCGCTTCACTCTGACCTGTGTCGACTGTGTCACCAGTCGTAGATCAAGGGCAATTAGGAGATCCTCCTGAGGCGCTACTTGGATCAACCCTTTTTGCTACAAACTGTTATTAGGACAAAATGTCACATGTATAG